AATGAGAAAAAAAATTTATGTTCCTTGAACTATGGATATATTTAAATTACAACAAAGTCGAATTTTTTTCTTGGTAATAATTATACTAATTAGGAGTGGAGACTGGGAGGGAAAATTCTAAATATCCTTTTAATCCTCTTAGTTTAATTTTCAACTTTTACTTTAATTATTTACTCTATTTGGCATTATCTTTCGATACATATATAACAAGTCTTTCCCCAAATCAGAATTTGCGATATAAAACATGCGGTATTTTAGATTCTCTATTAATTTCTCACAAAATTATGCAAATACAATTCTTCAGTTTTTGAAAGATATTTACATCTTAAACAGTTATTAGTTTAGATTTTTGACAAGTATCTTTATTATTATGCAATTAACGTCATCCTAAGTTTTTTTTTACCACTTTAAACTGCAATAAGATTAGATTTTAAGAAATCTAAAAGCTGAGAAATTTGTGATTTTAAATCTCTTACTTAAAACCACAAATCGCATCATTTTATTCTCCTAGTTAAATAAAGCGACTTCTTTCTACCTCTTTTGAAAGGTATTGCGATAACAATACCTTTCAATTATATAATATATTAAATTTTATACATAAAATATATATTTATAAAATATATAATTAAAGTATACAAAATATATATAACATATTTAAAATATATAATACATACTTCATAATAAAACAATATCATCAATAGTTTATTAAGTACAAAAATAAAAATGGAAAACTAGAAATTTTATCTAGAATCCAAGATGGCAAGATTACAGGTCTCATAAGGGGCCCTTAATTATGTAAATACACTTAGCGGAAACTGGATTATAGATATACTGCCATGCAATACAATCAACGAAATAGACAAAACTTCAAATTTTTTTTTATGTATTTTCATTTTCGCATGAAAAGCTATACATTGTAAAAAACTAGTTTCAAAGATATTTATCTGTTTTCTGAAAATCTATTTCACCGATGATAGTATGAGAAAAAATTAGTTGTCAAGCCACTTTTCTTGAAATTCTTTTGCTTTTAATTTTTTTTTCGTAAAGCACTTGCTTTGTTTTTCCAATTGCAGGACAGTATAGTCGTTTCCTTTCTAGAACTATCGAAGTTAAAAATTTCAGTTATACTAATTGGTAAAATTAATATGGATTTTATATTAGAGTCATAGTCTAAAGGGGGTTAAGAGTTTATATTAATTTCTTTAATCTGTTTGATATGCTAAGAGCTCAAAATAAACAAAACTTAAGCCGTAAAACTTTAAATCTTTTATTGTTACAAATTATTTTACCTTCTGAAACAAATTGAGAATATTTCGACTGTGAAGTACTTTTTATTAAGTAATTATGATTAAGTATTTTATTGTAGTGTAAACATTTATGTATGTCGTAACCTTTTTAAATGGACATTTGGTGAAGATTATACATATGAATGAACAAAAATGGTTGAGAGTGATTTTTCAAAGTCTCATTCTTTCTAATACATTATTTTTATTGTACAAACTGGTTAAATGTCAAATGAACCAACAAATATTAAAATCAGTTACAGGAAATTTAGGAAATACTATCCACATACCTGCCAACATTCACTCTTTTCGAAAATGGATTTTCCAAGTGGTAGTAAAACCATTACCGAAAAACTATCTTCCTCAAAAATATATTTGTATTTTAATCAGGTTGAATTTCGCTATCGTATGGAATAATATGCTTTTATATACTTTTTGTAATTATTTATATGTAGTGGTGGTCAAACTGATTTAAAATTATTATTATAATTCAAAAAATTTAGTGAAATAACATGAATTTCGCTAGCACTTTAAATATGAAAATAAAATCTGGGAAAACCGGAAGAGTTGGCAGCTATGTATCCATAATGGTCAATAATTTCTTTTTTTTAATGTTAAAGTTTTGGAGTAGAAATTTGCTTTAGATTGCCAACTTAAGTTTTTCATCCGAAGTCTATAACGAGCATTTTAGAGAAAAAATTTTAGAATCTACTGATTGTACGAAAAAGTTTACTATAATGAAATTAAATGCTGGCAGTTTAATTTTTAAAACTAGAAACAATTGTTTAAAAAAAAAAGAACTTCATCTCGAAAAGAATTGAGTATTTCAGATGTTCGTTACATATGCAAAAGAAACTTTTCAATACAAATATCCCCATTTAAACTAAAATCGAATGACCCGATGACTAATCGAATGACTAAAATCGAATGCTAACACATCATAAAAATTAATTTTTTTAAATTGTCATAAATTCCAGACATTTCTCGAAACTAGGCTTAATGATGCATTTTTTAAAATCATGAATAATTTGCAGTAAAATTAGCCAGGTAAAATCTTATTTAAGTATTTTTTTTAACTCAGTCAAGTTCGGCATATTGAGAAAAGAGTTCTTCCTCAAACCCATTAACTCCAAGTTTAAAACGTACTTGCAATTAGTTTTAAACTTATTGCAATCACGTCTCTGGGATCTTTGCTTACTTAAATGCTTAAAGTTCGTTACTTAAAAACCGTAGGACAAGAACAGAGAATCTCAAGGTGACACGTGATCACTGTCATAAAGGTTTTAATCACAGATTAAATTAAGTTATACCCGGTTAATTTGAGCTGTGGTGGCGCTCAGGGGATAGAACATTCACCTCTAAATGAGGTGAAACAAGTTCGAATCCCAACGGTGGCTGGTCGATACGAATTCTGCTCCCGGCTAACATCAACCAGTGATGACACAAAAGTGTTAAGCGGATAGTAGGTTAGAACCCTCTTTGCCGTCGGGCTAACCAGGGAAGGTTTTGCCCTCCATGCAACGCAAATGCTGGTTATAGTTTCAACAAAAAGTCCTCCACAATGGTTAGTCTGCCCAAATACTTCATACAGAAGATTCTTCGTCCTCTGGATTGGGTTCAAAGCTACAAGGCTATGAAATTGAACATTGATAGACGTAAATTCAGAATTGGGTCTGCTGTTCTACACCAGTTATAAAATATAGATTTAGTTTTGTAAAACATCGCAGTTTTAAATTATTATTCACATAATTGTACAATATTTTGAAAACATTAAAAAATTATTTCTATGGAAAAAATTCACAGTTTTAGTTTAATTAATCAACCGAGATATTTGAAATTTCATAAAACACCTCGTCATGAAAACAGATAAAACTTTTAAAACAAAATACTTCATTACTATTTACGGATTAACATAATCCTTTAAAACATAAATACTTGAGTTGATTATTAATACAAATTATGTTTTAGCAGGCCATTTTCTCAATACTCATTTTCGCATTCTCTTTTCCCAATTTTTAAACCTTTAATTTATGGACATAATTTAAGGGTTCAGTTCGGAAATATTTCTCTGACGTAATTTATGACGCTTAGAAGGATTAAAATTCTTTTGCGATGAAGTTTGTCTGCGACATTCGCTAATATTTTTCTAATTGGATTAATAACATTAAGCAGAGCATCTAATCTCATTTCCAAACAAAAGAAATTATATCCGAAATACATAAAACAGTTTTGGATGGAGGTTTGGAAATCAAAATATTAGTTTGTCATAAAGTTTAAGATCAAGCTGCGTCCACAAAACTTACTAGGCTATAAACCTACTTCGATAAATTTCATTATAGAGCATATGTAGTTCAACAAGATTTAAATATTAAACAGAGGCATGCAATAATATTTGTTTCTTATCCACATTTAAAAGAAAAACAATGATATAAAATAAACATTTAATAATCAATTGCAAGAAATATGCTTGAAATCTAAGTAATTTAAGCCGCGTTTCTCAAAATTGATATTGTTCTAAGCAGATTACAGCAAATAAGGAACTAGTTTGTTTCAAATTTATTAACGCTTCCTAAAGATTAAAATTTTATTTAAATGCCGATCACTGAATATTAGAACTCTAAATACCTTTTAATTTTTGCTACTTTTTTAACTATGCATGCATTCTGTCTCGTTCTATGTAGATATTTTACGAACGATTTGATAATTGGTTGTTTATTAATTTAAACTTTTCCATTCCTATTACAGTTAAAAAATCTAACCACCTAATATGCTTTAAATCATAAGGAAATTAAAACATTTACTGAAGATCTAATTTGATTTCAAGATATGTAATATAAAGTCATGAAAGGGAGATTTAAAATAATTATAAGATTTCATCTTTTAAATGAAACTATAAAATAAAAAACAGTTATAAATTGAACTAAAAACTACATTTAATTATTTCCATATTGAAGCATTTACGCTTTGAATTAGGAAAACGTATTCGAATAAATTATGCCTTCTACAATTCTGAATTATAAAAATTTTACAAAATGCCAAAAATGCGGGAACAAGTAAGACACCTTACAAAACTCAAGCAAGAATATTTTAGCTTTGTTTCCTAAAAGCTTTAAATAAAGCAAAAAATAACAAATTTGAAAAACAAGGAAGGAAAATTTAGTTTTACAAGGAAATAATTGAAACAAATTAAATTATATTAAATTCATAAATTAAATACAAAAGTTAAACATGGAATTTGAAACGGGAATTTCCATACAAATTCGCGATTAATTTATACGAAATTTCATTGAAACATTTTAAATAAATATCTATACATTTCCCTAGGACATTTTCAGCAAAAACTCTCGGCAAGCTTGACAGAAATTTATTTAAAAAAAAATTTCAGAAATAACTATAAAATAAAATAATCAAAAGAGATTAAAATTTCTCATATTTGATTAGATTTCAAATAGTATTTAATATTTAATTTCCTCTCAGCATCACTCTTTAATTATAAAAAAATATTACACGCCGAACAAAATATAAAAAATCCAGCTTGTTTTAGTTGTAAAAACAAAATTTTATAATTAAGTACAAAGCAAATCTACAAAAATAAACTAAAAGAAAACTAGATTAGAATAAACAAAAACGCCGGATACGAAAAAACTCCAAGGACACATTAACATACTATAATTCCAAACGATACGCTTGGTTCGTTACGATAAAGTTTCAACTCACCTGGGTATCTGACATTCTTGTTGAGAATCCTCACCAAATCTACGGTATGGTCGTTCAACTGCAAATAACCGAGCGGACCTTCGATAGAATTCTTGCTCTTATTTACCGCAACCACTGCCCTCTGTGCGTTCAATCCAACTAATTTTGCTTCACTTCCTCGCGGTTAGTAGTTACTTCCACGGGATTCTTTCTTTTGAGAGGTGAGCGAAAGATTCTACTGATGGACTTAAGAACTTGTATATTGAGACTGGGTGGACAGGTATTTTTACCTTTCACCCCTTTCTTTCATATAATAGAGCATGCCGAATTCTAATTAAACTTTTCTGGGAAATAGTTTATTCTTTAATGCTGGACAATGAAATTGGATTTTTATTTTATTTTAATAGTATTATTTAAATTTGATTGAAATTATTATATGGATATATTATTATAGAGATGAAAAGTCAATTTAAGAATGAAAAATATGCATTTTTTCAATCAAATTTTATTTGTCCCAAAAGTATACTTATTATTTATTAAGTTTAATACACTGTTAGAAATTTTGATGAGTGTTGATCCATGTTATCTTTAAACTTTGCAGTAATCCTATAATTATGTAATATGCTGAAACCATATTAACCTAAGTTAAACCAGGTTAACATCGTTTCAACATATTAAGATTTCTGCAAATTGTAGTGATAATATGGTTACACCAATTTACCATTCTGTTTATGCCAGTTAAGGCATGTTAGATCCATAGTAGACTGATCGTATGATACGATTTCCAGTAGATTACCACAGTCAAGCATCACTGACAAAGGTCAGTGAGTAGGTGGGTGACCACTTTAATTAGCATGCGAAGGGACCGAGAGAGTGTGTTATTGGTCTTTGTTAAACTGTTCTTCTGTGAAAAGCTCGACTTCGCGCTTAGATCATCGGGCTAAAGAAGGAGTACATCCCGTTCGTAGAGGATCAAAATTGTGATAGCATATCATAGGATCATCCTCAGGAATGCTTTCCAGACCATTGCCAGTAGTCCATTGTGTAGCTCCTGCATGACGTATATAAACTACGATTACTATTTTGATGATAATATAGCTAAACCATGTAATCGTTCGTGTTAAACCAATGAAACCAAGTTAGCTACACAGTGGACTGATAGTAAGATGCGGTTTCCAGTAGATCACTGCATCACTGGTAACGGTCAAAGAGCGGGTGGTCGGCCACTTTGATCTGCCTGCGAAGGGGCCGAGGGGGTGCTATATCATCCCTCGTTAAATTTTTCTACTTTAAAGTCATTAACTTCACGTTCAGGTCTTCGGGCAAGCGGGAGAGCCATCCCCTCTGCAGATGATAAAAACTGTTATGGCATGTCTTCGGATCATCCTCGGGGATGTTTCCCAGACTGTCGCCATTGTGCAGCTCAAGTGCGACGTAAATAAAGTAACCTAAGATAAACCATGATATCGTTCAAATTTACAGCATTCTTAACGTGCTGATGCCACATTAATCAAATTTAGACCATGTTTTCATATTTCCAAAATTTGATTAAGTGATACGACAGTTCAATTTGAACGTAAGCATAATTAAACTGCTTCAGTGCTCTTTACAAACACATTTTTAAGTCCTCGTCAAGTTGACGAAAGATAGTGTATATTAAATAGGTACATCACAGAGATGCATCCAGGATTACGGGGGGAATCGAACCCACTACTTCAACACTACAGAGGTGGAGAATTGAAGAGACCACTTGGCCAAAGAGACCTCTTTTAAAACTTCTAATATCTCTAAAAATTATGATAGAAATCACAATTTTATATTTATAGTTTTATGAAAAATTAATACAAATTTCTCATGTCTAAAAATAGCACCATTTCTAACAACCTTAATCATGTTTTTTTTTAAAGTGCGATTTGCGATGCGAAAATTTCTTGTTGTTGTTGTTGTTAATTTACGTCGCACTAGAGCTGCACAATGGGCTATTGGCGACGGTCTGGGAAACATCCCGGAGGATGATCCGAAGACATGCCATCACAATTTTGATCCTCTGCGGAGGGGATGGCACCCCCGCTTCGGTAGCCCGATGACCTGCGTGCGAAGTCGAGCACTTTACGGTAGCACAGTTTAACGAGGAGCAATACCGCACACCCTCGGTCCCTACGAAGACTGATCCAAGTGGGTCACCCACCCGCACACTGACCATAGCCAGTGATGCTTGAATTCGGTGATCTGCTGGGAACCGTGCGAAAATTTCTTGACCATTTGTAGCTGAATTAAATAGTGTTTCCGTTGAGTTAGTATAATATTATTGAGATTGTTGCTATATGACTATAATTTAAGCAAACTATAATGACTATAATTTAAGCAAAGATAATAATACTTGATATGGTTATATATCGTTAAATGTTTACTTATACCATAATGCAAACTGCAAATAATAATGCTAAAAGATGTAATCTAATTAATAGAATTGCAAACTATGTAGAGATAAAATAAAATTTTAGAAATAACATGACAGCAAAACATGTTGCACTTTATCCAAAATGTCATCACTTTTTAATACCAATTTAAATTTAATCTGCTCAGGCCGTGGGATCCCTTAAGGGTAAAGCCATTCCTTTTTTTTTTACAAGTGAGACTTATGTGACATTTTGCGTCAAGGTTGAATAGGTAATGCGCTGCGTAAACTAACGATAAAAAACATGTTTTTTTAACGTACCGTCCAGAACGCTTATGCTTTGTAAAAAGGAAAAAAACTGAAATGCAAAATCAAAACCTCGATAATTAAAGCATAATTATTGCCCGAATCCTTACCTGATATATAAGAACTGTGTGGTCAAAGATATGGAAAAAAAACTCTGTACAATTCTATATAAACTATCTTTCTTTGGGCAGCAAATGTTTTGGATGATTTTATAACTCATGTTACTATTTGAAAGATCCTGCATGATTCTTTTTAGAAATGATATCATATTTAAACATCAAAAAATTGCAGTGACCGCAATGAAGAGAGGAAATAGATAATTTTTTTCGTTCCTTGATACCAGCAATTTTGAAATCATTCTAGAGAATTTTTATATTTATTTTGTTGTTGTTGTTGTTGTTAATTTACGTCGCACTAGAGCTGCACAATGGGCTATTGGCGACGGTCTGGGAAACATCCCGGAGGATGATCCGAAGACATGCCATCACAATTTTGATCCTCTGCGGAGGGGATGGCACCCCCGCTTCGGTAGCCCGACGACCTGCGCGCGAAGTCGAGCACTTTACGGTAGCACAGTTTAACGAGGACCCATACCGCACACCCTCGGTCCCTACGCAGACTGATCCAAGTGGTCACCCACCCGCACACTGACCGCAGCCAGTGATGCTTGACTTCGGTGATCTGCTGGGAACCGTGTCTTAACGATCAGTCCACTGCGGGACATATATTTATTTTAGATTGATTTTAATCATTTTTTTTTCCAATGGTAGGCACTGAATTTGAATCTTTGCCTATACTATGCCAGAATCGTTGCTCATTTCGCGTTACCCAGTGGGCACGTGCGAACCAAAGTCACGGAGACGAGGAACATTGCCCACGCCACACTGCCACAAACCCGTTTATAGAGTGGGCCACAGTCACACATCATACACACTCACAAGAGAGGACAGCACAAAGAGAGAGAGAAACATCCATGCCCAGAGCGGGATTCGAACCCGCAGCCTATGGCCACCTGGCCGGCTGATTTTAATCAACGTGGAAACGAAAAAGGAGAGAAGCTTTTAACTTTACGCGCTCAATTCAGTCGATGTAAATTTTGCGTGAGTGAAAAGACCCCTATTTCTAAAAGCCAGAAGAATGATTTTTCAAATTGCGCCAACAATTTTGCCATGTAAAATGTTCCAAAGCATTTGCCAGCTAAAAACATAAATTAGTATAGAAATGTTTTCATATTTTCGTCTAATCCCTGCAAAGATTTTTAAAAAGATCAGAATTGCTGGCTTAACAATTGCAGACTTCAGAACTCGCATATTCCTCTGGATAACTTTTGATCTACTGATCGGATTTTCACGTACCAGCGCTCAAACTTGTTCGAGGAACTTTATTGTGAATGAAAATTTTAGTGGATGAAGCAGGAAAGTGAAATTTTCAGGGATATTCACTGAACTGGGAAAATAACATTAAGTAGTCGCATCAGTATGGGTATGTTTAATATAACAAAATTGTTCTCACTTTAATTTTAACTTAAATAATTATATTTTCATTTTGTAACCGTCGTTGAGCAGCTGGCACAATTTCGGGTTTAAGACTACTAATGTTTAACTCAGTAGCCTTGTAATTTGAACCCAATCCAGAAGACAAGGGAACTCCTGGATCAAGTATTGGGGGACTTTTTGTTGGAACTTACCAACATTAGCGTTACAGGGATAGGAGAGTCACAAAAACATCCCGAGGTTAACTTGATGGCAAGGGGACTCTAACCTATGATTTGTCTACCACTGAGTATACTTTACGTTTTTGTGATCCGGATGCAGAATTCATATCGACCAACCATCGGGGAATAGATCAGCCATCGCTTATAGGGCCGTGGTGGCTAAGGGGATTGAGCCCTGGCCCATGAGGCTACCCGGGTTCGAATCACAGCGATGGCTGGTCGATTCGAAATCTGCACCAGCTCGCACCGACCACAGTGCTGATGTAAATTATCCTCAGTGGTAGACGAATAAAAAAGACGGATCATGGGTTAGAGTCTCCTTGCCGTCAGGCTAGACGTGGGAGGTTTTCGTGGTTTCTCTCTCGGGTTAGTTCATCATTTTTTTTCCAGGATTTACCTTGTCTTCTGGGGATTCAAAAATTATATCAAAATTACAAGCCTACGAAGTTGAACATTGGTAGTCGTAAACCCAAAATTAGATCAGCTCTTCAACAACGGTTATAAAACTATGTATTATAGCTAGTCATAGTGGCTCAGGGGATAGAAAAGTCACCTCCTAATAAGGTGGCTCTAGTTCGAATCGAAGCCGTGGTTGGTAGATACGAATTCTACTCCTGGCTCGCACCAACCACAGTGACGACGTAAAATAGCCTCAACGGTAGACGAATCATGAGTTAAAATTCCCTTGCCATCAAGGTAACCGAAGGAGGTTTTCACGGTTTTCCTTTTAATGCAACGCAAATGCAACGCCATCGAAATGTCCTCTGTGAAAGCTAATTTGCGGGGATTCTTAATCCAGGAGCTCTTGTCTGTTCTGCTCTGAGCTCTAAATTGCAAAACCACGGAGTTG